TTTTTAAACTGAAAATTGGGTTTTTTTTTAAATCAGAGAAAACCAGAATCCCTGGATATTAGGAAGAACTTTCTTTACTAGGAGGGTAGTAAAACACTGGAACAGGTTACCCAGAGAGGCTGTGGACCAGATGAGTTTTTAAGACAAAGCCTTGGCTGGGACAATCTAGTTAGGGATGATCCTGCTTTGAGCAGGGGATTGGACTAGATGACATCCTGAGGTCCCTTCCAACTCTAATTTTCTATGATTCTGTGATTCAGGTTGTCCGCATGGCTGGGAGGAGAGGAGGGAGTCAAGCTGCTTATGCATTGGGGAGAGCCTGGGAGGGCCTGCCTCTGTGGTGAGTAGCCCTCAGGACTACAGCCCCTGGCATTGAGCACCACATGTGCTCCTGGCTGCCTGGAAGTTGGACAGCCGTGATTTAAATGGTTCCACAATGTATTAATAGCTTGAGAGCTACACAGATGAAATCCATTCTAGTATTCAGTTGATACAGGAAGATTAATAGGCAAAGGAAGATGTTGGTATTTGGATGAACGAATATATTGATATGCCCAGTATGGTGGGAGAGCAGAAGTCAAAGACATCTCTAATTAAAGAACAGTTCAGGCATCACATCTGTGTGGCCTATTTTCTGTGTAGCTATAGATTTCCAAACATGTTTCTTTTGACCTGGGATGTTCCTGACTACAGTTTCCAATGTGTGGGATACTTGTAATTTTGAAGATTGGCTTGAATTTTTAATATTTTGCAATTTATAAAAGAATTTGGACATGACCATGTATGTATATTTTTCCATATGGTGTTAGTTCGTTAGTTAGTTATGCAGGAAGTGAGTGATGACTGACCTAGTTTAAGCAGCGTACCCAGTATAATACATGCTTGTGTAGTGTTGTTTTATCTTGTGCAGCCAATCTTGTTTGCAACACATTGTTTATTAACAGAACTGTGACAGCCTGTCTGGCAAAAATTTAAATATGTTACATATTAAAGTGCTACTGAAAAACTGGCTAAATACTGCAAAATGTCTGTTTTTTTTAAAAGCCTTTTATGTAGACTGAAAGATGCAGTGCAGTAGCTCTTCATATCTGTGTAACACCAAATGCATGCTAGTAATCTTCTTCTTGGTGTGCAGTTATGTGTACAAAATAAAGTATGTATCCTGATGCAGAAGGCCTGCCTCAGTTATAGAGTGTTAGCAGTCCGCTGCTTACAGTATTATTGGGTGGGGGGATTAAAATTGTCCTTCTTTCAAGTATGAGGTATTGCTGTCAGCTTCCCATGGATGTTCTCTATAATGCTTTAATATTCTCCTTTGTTTAACAAGTTTATAAACTGACAGTTTTATTACTAAACTGAAAGGCATTTTGTGCTGGTAAGCTTATCTAACATCTCCACTCACTATATAGTTGGTCCAATAGAACAGGGCTGTTTAACCTACAAGTGGCATGGGGCTGCATGGCCTATGGGCTATACCAAAGGGAACCACACACCCTGCAGGCTGCTCTAGGGCAAGCCATGGTCCCCAGATGTCCTCCCACTGCTGCACTGCATGCTTATGCCCACCCCTACTGCTGCACCATATACCCACAGCCCCCACAACTGCTGCACCATGTGCCTGTGACCCCTCCTGCTCCACCATGTGTCTGCAATCAACCCCAGTGCACTGCACACTTGCAATTCCTCTCCCACCCCTGCCACTGCACTGTGTACCTCAAGGTCACCCTCAGTTCCCTGTGCTGCCACACCACCAAGCCCCCTGGAATATGGGTGGCCATTGGTCCTGTTTCATATTGGAACCTCCTTTTTTAAACCCTTTGTCCCTTGTCCATTTCTAAATGAGGAACTGTTAAGAGCAAATTCAGGCCTGGATCATGGAACTCCATTAAGTAGGTCAGCAGATGCCCTCTACCTGACCCATCCTCTGCAGAGTGATGTCAGATACCTGTAGAGGCCCAGGAATAGAGTGCCGTACACCCATGTGCTGAGAGCAGAGCCTGAGTGAATGGGGTGCACTACTCTGATTGACAGGTTGGTGTGTGCGAGACTGTGGGTGTGTGGTGTGGCTGGACTGAGAAGTTGACTGAGAGGTCTGTGTGCATTTTTGGGGTGTGGGGAGGCTCTGAGAGATTGGAGGAGGGTGTTTGGTGAGGGAATTGGTGGTTGCGTTGCTAGGGTAAGAGACTGGAGCGAGAGTTAGGATAGAGTGACTGGTTTCTTTGGCCGGTGCACCATGGAGGCACATTGTGCTAGATTTCAGTGACTTGTGAGGCTCCATCGATCTCCCTCCATTGTGGTGAACCTTCGCTGGAGGTAGATAAGGTTGACTCCCCGGTTTCTTTCCTACCGGGTGTGTGTGTCACATAAAGCAGCGGCCCTCTACTTCCCATTGTAAGTATCACCCATTCCTTTTCTCCCTCACTCTTGTCCTGGTTATGGGCTACTCCTCCTTGTTTGTGAGGGGCAGGTAAGCCGTACTGAGCAGTTGCCTGAGGAGCAGACCACGCTCGGGAGACCAGAGGCAGGGACATGAGCCTAATAAAGTTTCCTCTCTCCCTCAATAAAGTCTACCCCATCCTTGAGTAAATATTATATTGCTGTATTGGTAAGGGTCATTTTGGGAACCAGGTGTGTATATATGTTGTTTACTTACCTGTTGTTTGTTGCAATTTAATAAACCATTTTATTCGTATACCTTTAGCAGTTATCTTAGTGATTATTAATTAAAACCAGTGATAGATACGCACAGGGCGAAGGCCCACCAGATCTTTCTGGGGAGACATCCAAGAGGAAACAGCTGTTTGGGCCTGCTTTATAATTTGGTTTAAAAGAGTGATCTTTCTTCTCCACCAACAGAGCGGGCAGCAAAAAGTTCTGTTTCTCAGTTCATTGGTGGAAATACATTGCAATCATTTGTCCTCGCAATTCTATTGGCTGTGCCTAGAGGTAGGGTGGTGCACAGCCAGCAGAAGCAGGGTTCCAAGCTAGGGAGGAAGGGAGTGGACTTTTGGTGGTGGCCCCCTCTTTGCTGTTGATTGGCCAAGAAGCCCAGTGGCCCCACCCCTCACTGCTGATTCACCAAGGATGCAGCCCCACCCCTCACCATTGACTGGCTGATTGGGGCCACCCCTCACCAAGGCATGTCCCATATTCTGGGGATCTGTTGGTGGCCACCTTACCTGGGGTGGAGGCAGGAAGTAGCAGCTGGAGTAGTGAGAGGGGAGCCTGGAGACCTCTGGCTGCTATTACAACTAGAGTGATGTGGGGAGTGGCGGCCAGGCAGGAGCTGGATGGTGAGGGGGGAAGTGGCGATTTAACCCCTTGTTGGCTGCATCCGGCCTATGGGCCTCTAGCTGGACAGCCATGCAAAAGAAGATATTAAGCAAATCTTGCTTTTTGCACATTCCCATCATGGCTACAACAGCACAAGAACAACATAGTTGCACTTTGGCTTGCAGTGTTAAAGAAGATGTGGTCTGGAATGCCTTGCCATTCTTTTTCAAACAAAGTAAGAAAATACAAAGAATTCATGTAGCAGCAGAAGGGCCTTTCTTAGAGGATGAATTTTACCATGACCCAGATAGGGTACAGAGAGATGGAACACTTTTACCACTATCAAAAGGTGGTGATATAAGTTGTTAAAATCCAACTCTTAGGTCTGCATCATTCTACAGCAATACAAGTATAGCAAAATTGCTTCAAACTTAACCTTCCTTCGTTCCAGTTCCAGTTAAGGTAGTTTAGCTAACCTACAGGATCATGCTGATGTACCAGTTGTAGAGTAACTGCTGATGCCCTCTCCCCTTTTAAAGGTTCTATATAAAATGTTGGTTTCTCCATACCTACAGTCTCATCACATGTGTTTGTTCACTGAGTAAGGTTATGGAGTGCAAAAGACCCCCATTTTACTGTAACACTGGTTTTACAAGAGAAGGTATAAAGTAAACAGGAGACCAGTCTATCAAGTACTATTTCCTTTTTGGGGAGAGGCTGAATTAATTTACTACAACCTATCTTTTGACTAGAGATGAGGCAGTTTTTATTTTATTGGTCCAATGGAGTTGTTCTTCCAGGTATGCTGATCCAGGAATTCTTCTTATGCAGTTTGAACAGGGCCAAGCTATAATAAGTGTTTTTCAGTGGAGAGAAACTAATGCTGAACTCATCAAATCCAGTCTCATTTAAGTTTTCCAGAATTCTGTAACAGGCAGCACAGCATAATGAAATGACTGAGAAATCTTCTCACATAGTTAGTCCATCTTGGAGCACACATGGGATGGTGAGCATGAAGATCTTCCTTATATGCCACCAAATAGGTTTTGGGTCTTAGGAACCCAATGACCTGAGCTAAAGAAAGGCTTCTGGGTTTGCAGAGTGCTGTGTAGCTCAAGTGGTACTGGTCCAGGTCTGCCTACCCCTAGTTTTCTCTGCAAAGTACCTATACACAATTATTGATATGGGTGGATGTCTGTATAGCGCTGTCAGCCCACACTACCCCGTTGTGATACTGCATCCTACCACCTCTACTGTAAGAATGAGATCAGAATGGGGAAATGTGGGTCCTATAGCAACGGGGAAATGAGAGAGCATGGATGGGGCTGACTAACATTTGCAGCAAGGCCCCTTATGCACTCAGGCAATGTACAGACTGTAAAGCAGGGGTGAATTACGTTTGAATCCACTTTTAAGTCACTTTTACTCTTGCAGAATGTGTAAAGAGGCTGTGGTGTAAGTGAGAATTGGGTCATATCTGGTCTTATATTATCTCTTTGCTAAATATTAGAAGAGTCTCTCTTCCACTCAAAAACAACAACTCTGTAAGCATACATAGGAATGACCGCTTTTAATATGCCTTCGGGCTAGATGGGAGTGAAACAGGAATTTTGTCTTTTTCAAGCATAAGAGTTTTGCATGGCCATGGTTACAGATCTTACCCTCTCCCTTTTGTTTTATGGTGATGTGGATAATAACAAATCTGTCATTTGTCTTTTATATTATAGATTTTTCCCCCTTTCAGTTCTGCCTTTGCATTGATGTGATTATATGGACCTGGCAATTGCTACAATGATCTAAGGATGTGACACATCCAGGATTCTGTGCTGAGGTAATTTTTTCCATTTGTCCCTTGTCCTCATTTTCTGTGTTGGTACTTTTTCAACCATTGTCTATGTTTTGAATATGTTTGCCTTCCGCACTCCAATACAAAACCATGTTGGAGGGCAGCTGTCCCAAGGAGCATAGCATACTGCTTTACTTGTGAATACAGGGCAACCCACCTCAAGTCACTGATTAACCCCTTCTCCCCCCAAAATCCTGCTATACGCCTAACTTGAATCTGAGTTTTCCAAGAGGACAATACCCAATGCATATCTATAGAGGACTTCCCTGAATGCTTTACTGTTTTTGCTAGTATGATACATCTATTCATTAGAAAACAGGAGATGTACACAGGATGTACATGAAGTGCATTGCATTCTGAATTAAAGAAGGTAGACAGTACACAACTGTCCAGTAGATGAACAAACTTTGAAGAGAGCACAAACAAAGTGGAGCTGAGAAACGATGAGCCTCTAACAATGTTCAAAAGAAATTTCACGGAGAATGTAGTCCGCATCAAGGACCAATTGCCAAGGTCAGGGAAAGAATCGACAACGATATATAATTTTAAACAGTGCAACAAGGAGTTACGGGGGAAAAAACACTGTATAGTAAGAAGGACAGACCATTTATTAATTGACCTTGATGGTCATCTTTCATGCCCAGTTTGTTAATCTTGCAAGAATTTGCATAAGGTACACATGGGTGTGCAAGTCTGTTGCAATCAGACTATGCATAGGTCAAGTAAAGTTAGATGCTAAACAGAACTTGCCACCCAGTTTCAAATGCCTTGTGCACTTGCTTTCTTTTACTTTACTGTGGAGTGTAAAAAGTGGAAGGAGTTGGGTAGAGAATAGACATGTCTGAGAAAATACAGTTTTGAACATGACCTTTGTCTTGGCAAGGAGGAGGGCTGAGCTGTGCATTTTCCTCCGAGGCTTTAATCCTGCTATTAGGCAGGAACAAACTGGCAGTCATGCAGCAGTGCCCTCAGCAGGTTCCCCTGCTTTCTCTGTCCTGCAAGAATAACTTTTTACCTTCCTCTTTATAGGCACAACACTCTGCACCTGCACTGGATGGAATGAAGCCCAGAATATTTCTCTGTTATAGTGACTGAGCTGGCTCTGTGGTCTTAAAGTGCAGTTCCACGTGACTATATAGCAATGACTCCTTGTATCCAGTTGACTATACTGTCTCCTTTAGAATGGACAAATTCCTTCCTAGCTTATATTTCAGCTTTCTTCATACTGTGATGTCAACAAAACAGTAGATGAGGAGATAAGCCTGGCTGGCATAATTTATTTAAACCTTTAATAAAGTCCCTCACAAGAAATATTTAAGGAAACTAAGTAGTCATGGAGTAAGCACAGACATCCTGCCCTGACAGAAATTCCTAAGAGACAGAAACCAAGCAGTTGAAATAATGGCCAGTTAATAGTGTGGCAAAAATTTAACTGGAAGGTGCCACATAGAGGACCTAGGTTTGAAAAATCTGAGAGAAAGACTGAAATAATTTGGAGTAGCAGTAAGTCTTCCAGTTTTTGAGAGGAGTCTTCTACCTGATTTCTATCTTACCACATGATACTAAGTGAAACTGTAAACTGTGTATTTGATCCAGAAGAACCATGAAGGAGACATGGATATATTGGAATAGTATGAGGTGTTTTGGTAAGAGAATAAATCATCTGACCCCAGCACTCTTTCCTGCCTAGGCAGGGGGTCGGACTCAATGATCTGTTGAGGTCCCTTCCTACCCTAGCATCTATGAATTTTAACAACTTGTGCATCCTGAGATCAGGATGTAAGATCATAATTTAACATGGAAAATATTATCTTAGTATGAGAAGGAGGCCAACCCCTAGGAGGAGTAACCAGTATTACCTATATCCAGTGACTGAAGGCAGAGAAGATGTAGTTATAAAGCAGGGTATTGTAAAGGCAATCTTGAAGATACATTGCAAGGTACTGAGGTCAGTTTGGAAATGTATCTAAACTTCTGTCTTCTTTATCACACAGAGAAAATGACATCAATGTGAATGTAAAGAGTGTTCAATTGGCAAAAAATTGTGGTTTGGATATATTTTGGGGAAATAAAAATTTCCTTCACTTGGAGCTTGCAACAAACTACTTTTAAATTCATGTAGATGATTTTGAAAGATGCTGAGTAAGTATTTCATTATTTGAGAATAACAAGGGAGTTTCCTCCTAGTTTATCTGAGAAAGGTATTAACAGTTAGGAGTTGCAACTGTCTTTCCTGAAATACTTTTAGCTAGGTCAATAAAATCCAATAGCAAGAAGACAATTTATTCTTTGTATGGTGTAAAAAGTATAAGCTAATTTATTTAAAGCAATTCTTATGCAAAAACTACATTAGTCTTGAAGAAACAAAGCGAATGCTTTTTTTTGTCTAATAGAATAAAGGAATGTGAAAATATTTGTTTTGTTGTTTAATAATTTAATGTTTTACTTTGATAATTGAATGCTGAAATACTCCTAATAAGAAGTGCTAATGGGAACAAGCATTGTAAACTTTCAGAGTTGTTTCTAAAAGAAAAGAAAGCCTATTGTTTCCCAAAGTAAATAGCTATTCAGAATGGTTAGAGGTGTATGTGATTTGGTTGTTTTTGAACTGGGAATATTCTACAGCTCCAAATAGGAAGTCTGGGATGGTTATTTTAGTTAAGTGTCTGGAGCATCTTTAGTTGCCTGGTAAGCAATCACTAATAATTTGGTAATGCTGTCAATTGAGTAATAAAGTTGCTTGAAACCTGGTGACATTATGGGGATGGGTGTCTATGTACAACATCAATTAAGGCTGATGTTATGAAGTTATTAAAAATATATATTGTTAACACCTCTGTGTCAATGCCTTTTTGACATTGCTGACAAGGACTATGTTATATCCCTCCCAGGCTATGGAAAATAGTTGGTCATTAAACCTTAATGGTTCTGTACTGAGATGGAGCCACCTTGAGACAAAGGGTTAGCTGCAACCTAGTAGAACCAGATGTCTGTCACCTGTCTGCAAGGAAGGGCTTTGGGGCAGTACAAGACTGTCAGACACAGAACAAAGATACCAGGTGTTGTAAGGAGAAGAAACTAGGGATGGCTTATAAAGTCATGCATGAAGCATTGGGCAAGAAAGAAAATAGCAGACAGACTTTCAGAGCGGTGAGTATACTTGATTTAGCATAGGACCAACCAAGTCTGAGAAGAATGCTTCATAGTGGTGAGGAACTGAGACAGACATGCATGTGGAATTTATTATTTCTGTCTAGATCTTTGTATTTTCCATAATACTAAGTAAAAAGTGATGAAGATATAAGAGACTGTGTGTGTGTGTGTGTGTGTGCGCGCGCACATGCAGACGCGTGCATGCATGATATGTATACACCAACTATGTGGCTCTGGAGATGTAAGCTGTAAACATCAGAACATCCACAGCTAGATAAGATATGGTATAAGCTGCTTTAGTATCTTGCAGATTAGCACTGGTGCTAGGACCTAAAGAAGTGGGCATTGGGTCACAAGGATCTACTTCCATGATGAGAAGTAAGAGCTAGAGAGCCTGTCCCCAGAAAACATGCCAGAGAGGCCAAGGGAAGAAACATTCTTGAAGCCTGCTGAGATCAAGGGAGCTTAGAGCACATGGGGCAGCAGCTTGGGAGCCAGTGCAAGCAGTCTGAGTACCCAACAGTGTCACTCACAAACCAGATTCACAACAGCTGGCAAACAGCTTTAGAACTTGCAAGTAACTGCTTCAGTGCCTCTGTGCAACCCAAACTTCTTTGCTTGAGAATATGTGCTTCCTGATATGTTATAGTTAGTCCATGGTTTGAAATCTCTGTGTTTCTGGACTTGACTGTTGTTGTCCAGAGTTCCTTGAAATATTGTTAGAGGTATGCTACTGAACCACTGATCTCTTCAGGGAGTGAAAGGGCTACCCAGTAGGGGTGTGTGAACCAGACCCTATTTGATTCGGATTTGGATTTGGCCCAAATCAGGGATGCCACGTGCCTCTTTGCTCCCCAAGGCGACTCAGGGGAGCGGAGCAGTTCCCCGGAGCCGGCAGAGCCTACACCAGGCCCCAGCCCCTGTCTCTGTCCCCGCCCCTGCCTCCGCCTCAGGGAGGAGCTTATCTTCCGTAAGTGTCCCATGCCGCAGTCCAGCTCTCTCTCGGTGGGTGCGTGGCCTTAAAAAATTTGTGCACAGCAAGACTTTGACTTGTGCGTGGCCGCACATGCATGTACGTTAGAGGGAACCTTGATCCCAGAAGAAATTTTTTTCCCCCATTCAATATGGGTGAATGGGGTGGATGGAGCCTTGGCTTAGATTTGAGTACTGGCCTGGGGCAGGCAGAGAGGGGAAGCATGAGGAAGACCACATAGTGGGAAGGGGTGTGGGGGGAGACCCATGGTGTTCTAGATCTCCCCTCCCCTTCCCTCCACCATGCTGCTTACCTTTGACCTGGCCAGGCTTATCACTACTCTACCTGACTGGGCTAGGATGTGGTACGAGCCAGAACTGAAGGTAAAAGGCAGGGGTGGGAGCAAGTGGTTGGGGTGGGCAGGCAGCGGGAGAGCAGGGGCTCAGTGGCAGGCAGCAGGGGGGTAGGCATAGGTGGAAAGGTGGGGGCAGGTTGCAGAGGGGCAAGCAGGGGAGCAAGGAGTGGGGGATATAGCTGTCTGCCCCCCCATCTACTTTCCCTAACAGCAGTGGGGTGGGGGTGGGGGGTGGAGAATGGGGTGAATTTAAGATAACCCTCCAATAATTACATTCTGTACTTGGAAAATTATAATTTTCTGTGTATAGAATCTAATCATTGCAGTGTCATCTGAAATATGTAGCATCTTGGATTTGGGTGAATACAATAGTATCTGAACATTTTTCTGTAGTTCTTTAAGCAGTGTGGATAACATCTGTCACGTGTTTGTTCTTTTACCTTCTCCCAAGGGGGATAAGTGTGTGCAGTGGAGTGTTTTGTTTTTGTCAAGGTTTTTTTGGGTGTGGAGTGGAGTGAGTGGTTGTTGTTGTATATGTTGCTATGTATTTATGTTGAGGAGGCAAGGGCAAAGAAATGCTCCTTGCACTTGGGGTGGAAGGTGGTTATGTTGGTGATGGTCTATAGCTTCTGTGGGAGTTCCAGTCTTGGATCAGCCCCTGAGAGATTTGTTCCCATACAGGTGCGTTTTACCATTGTGGCAGAGAATTCTTTTGTGCCAAAAGACCATAGCAACCGTGGTCTTCATTCGAGGAGATATGCTGCAGTTTCCTGTACTACTTGGAGCTTCTGCAGCACTGACAGGTTCATGCCCAAGTATATTACATTGCTGTAGTGCAGGCAAGAGGTGACAAAGTTGTGAATAACTGAAGCCATAGCATTGTTAGCCAGAATAAGACAGTCTTCTAGCCAACTAAAGATGGTAGAGACATTACTAATAGATGTTGCCACATGGGAGCTTAGTGTTGGTGAGCTATCCAAGAGTATTCATCAACTATGGACTTGAACTGGGTATACAGTGAGACATGGCTGAACACTCTCTTCAAAGTGCTTTTTCTTTACCCACCAGTAGCACTTCTGCCTTGCTTAGATTCAGCTTCAGCCAGCTGTTCTTTCTCCAAGCACTGAGCCTTCTTGATGGAAGTGGTTGGGTTGTAGGATGATGAATGGGTAGAGCTATGTGCCCCCTGTATATGGCTGACATACAGTTAACATGTGCACCTGTATTGTCCAGTCAGTTCATTCAGGGCCAAATCCAGAAAAAGGACTTAGATTGTCCCGCACCTCATTTTTGAGCTTCTAGGTTTTAGGTGTTTGGTACCCAGAATAGAATCTAGAAACCTGTGTTAGGATGTTCAAGCTGCATATGTATTGTATGGGGAGAGTTAGGTGCTTTAGCATGGGGATCTAAAATAACTAGCATGGGTTGGATATTTAAATCTCACAGTGCTCTGGGATTTAAGTACCCTAGAGATATGGGTTTAAATCTCTTAGGCAGAAGAGGAAACTGAACTCGGGTCTTGCACTTCCTTTGTAACTGTTGTGATCATTAGACTGTTGTATAAAAGGGAGGTGCTGCCAGTTCCTTCTCCAGATACCTTTTAAAAGAAAAGATTGGCCACCACGGTATCCTGTATGCAAGTGTTAGGCATACTCTGAGTACACTTACCGGAGGAAATAGGTTGAGAAGGGCCTCATTTCTGTATTCTGATTGGGTTTAAAGAATTAAGCTTGAAAGAGGCATATAGCTGCCAGCAGTGTCAAGACTGAGACTCATCTGGACATGTGAGGAAGCAGGCCTATTGTGACTGGGGAGGTTAAGGTTAAAAAAACAGATGCCTATGGAGTTTAGATGCTTTCAGGTTTAGCAGAGCAGTGGATTCCAGAAAAGGGCCAGACCATAAAAGGACTTACTGGCTGTGTGGAAATGTTGCCAACGCCTGAGCGAGAACTGTTCCTGGTATTTCACAATTCCACAGTTGAGGGATCTAGTTATAGAAGTGCAGTGTTCTTGCAATCTCTAGCAAGCAAAACTTGCCAGAGCAGACAATGTTGCACTCCATTCATCATAGTGGTTACAGGGGTGATCCATGTCCTGTACACCCAAGAGTTGCTGAAGCCATTATGTCTGCCTGAGACACAAGTCTTCCTCTAGCCTTCACTGAAGGAAAGCTCTGCTCCTAGCGCTGAATTATGCCATGAAAATAAACATATTGAAGATTTGATTTTCCTATATTCAGACATCCTATATATTATTCTCTTTAAGTTGCCCCAGTATTGATCCACAGATTTTTGCAGTGCTACTCCATCCAACTCTGTATGAAAAGTGCTGCTTATTCAGTGAAGAGTCTCTGTTTCTTATCTGCCATGTTCAGTTGTAAAAACCACCATAATATTCCACTCCCCCCATTTTGTTTTTCTTTAAATTAAACTTCTTGGCTCCACTTCATCTTATGACTTAGATTCAGTTACTTTCTAAATGTTTTTTGCTGGTAATCAATAGGGAATTTTGCTGTGTAACCATCTTCTGTGAAATAGTGGCTGGCATTTGGTTGTCATTTGGTTGCATTGTATAATTATAGAACATGTTATGGTTTGATGGATGAAGTCATTAAGACCACAGTAATTAGTACCAGCCTGCTACTTTGAACTGCTGTGTGGTGACATATTCCTTATAGTGAGTTACATCTGTGCACACACACTGAACACAGCTTTCTAACCATCTGATGCCTCAGGCTTACATGCTGTTATCCTGTATCGAACCAGGACATTTTCATTCATTTAAAAATACACATACATAAAACCAGATAGAAGAATGTTGCTTACTACCTCTTAAATATTCACATGAAATCTAAATAATTTATGAGGGGAAACTTAAAAGACTAGCTAAACTACATTATATTACATGGGATGTCATACTTGGCAGAGGAAGTAAAGTCTTACAGTGGTAATACAAAGTTCTGTGCTACCGAATGTATCACCCAGATCTAGAAGTAATTCTGGGTTTGGGCCTGCTGACTCAAAAGGGTGGTATGCCTGGCCTCCAAGAACAGCTAGGCATGCAGAAGGATCCTAGCTATGCAGCTAAATCTTACTTAGGAAATAAAGGAAGCCTTTCTGCAAAGGAGAGGTATGAATGCTGAAGTATGGAGAGGATGGAAGAGTTGGAGTGAAACGAAAGTAAATGGCTCATCACCTACGAGGTGGCCTTCCAATGACACCTAGAGGTGGTCTAGATTTTCTCCCCCAAATAAAATGTCACCTTTCCAGAAAAAATAACATCATGAAAATCTTTATCTGTAAACCAAAATTTTTTGTTCAGAAATGCTAACTCAGTGCCTTATAAAAACT